TGCTTGGCCTGGTGTGTTCATCCAGCTCTACACCTTGTTATCTCAAGTATCCCTTATGCCTTCTTAACTACTCTATAAACTCGCTAAGCAACCTTTAGGGATTTATAGACAAATACCCCAAAAATCCCTCTGTTCCTCAAATATTCCTAGTGTCCTGCCATTCATTGACTTCATCCGTGATTTGTTACTTCTTCCAAAGTGCGTCATTTCATACTTATCAGGATTAAGTTCCATCCGCCACAGACCTGCCCATTTGACTATTTATATCCTCCTGTAAACTGAGACCTCCTTTCTCACGGTCAACCATCATGCCAAACTTCATGTCATCTACAAACTTACTTATCATTCTGCCTAGTCTACATTCTCATCTTCATCATTTACAATAAGTGACCCAGCACTGATCCCTGTGGTTTGGCACTGGACACTGGCCTCCAGTCACACAAACAGCCTTCTACCATTACCCTCTGTTTCCTGCCACTAAGTCAATTTTGGAACCAACTTGCCAAGTAACCTTGGAAATGCTTTCTCCCACAGTGTTGCAACTTCGGGACTCGGAAGGCAGTGGAGTTGGGGTCACTGAAAATGTTTAAAAGAGATGTAGATAGATTCCTGTTAGGCAAGGAAACCAAAGATTTTAGGGGGCTAGCTGGGAATGTGAAATTCAAAACATAAGCAAGTCAAGTAGTGTCTTACTGAATGGCAGAGAAAGCTCAAGTGGCCAAATGGTAAATTTTAGTCCAATTTTGTACTTTTGTTTGTTTCTCCTGACATTCCCCACAACTCTTGTGTTCCTACTTTATAGCCACATTCACATTAAATGGGAAGATGCTGCCATAGTGTTATATCATTGGACTAGTAATCCAGAGACCCAGGCTAATGCTTTAGGTTCAAACTTTACCCCAGCAGCAGGTGGAATTTAATTCAATTATTAAAATCTGGAATCAAGACCTAGTTTCGTTGGAGAGCATGAAACATTCATCAATTGGTGTAAAAAATCTATTGGGTTTGCAAGCAAAATATGTTGTACTCATCTAGACTGGTCAACATGCTATTCCAGAATCGTAATCAAGTTTTAAGTGACTTCTGAAATAGTCTGGCAAGCCACTCAGCTCAAGGATAATAAAAGGCAATATATGCTGGCTTTACCAGTAACACCCACATCCTATGAAAGAATAAAGAGGAAAAAAATAAGCTCACAGCCTCTCAGAGACTCACTGGACATTCGAGTGAGGAACTCACCCCTCGATTCTTTTGAGTGGGATTTTCAACTGATCGATTTTCACTTTGATCAATGTCATACAGTATGTCCACTGGAACTAATCCCATCAACATACTTATTGTCTGATTAACCCTATCTACATCATTATCCACTTAAACCCTGCAAACAAATCAAGAGAGTCAAGGTTACCAATAATGGATGGCAATATGAACTTCGTAACAGAAGCAGATTAATCATGATTTTATTAAATGGCAGAGCAGACTCAAGGAGCCAAATTGTTTACATCTGTTCCAATTTTGTACGTTCATAACAATCATCACCCCTCTGCAAATTTCTTAAGAGAATGCTCATTGTTAAAACCTTTGCCATCCACATTATTCTGGGTGATTTCACCGACATTTTGATTTTGACTATTATTTTGCCCTGATGGCAGCATCTTACCTGCCTCATATACTTTTCACTATTTGCTCTATCAAAATGGTAAAAGGGTGGCCTCATTCAAATCACAGCTTATTCTTTCTATTCTATATTTTTTGGTAACATTTTTTGTTTTGTTCCACACCTCTCACCTCTTCTTTACAATGCTAATCAGATACCATCCCTCATTACACTCCCACAAGTTTTTGTCGACTTTGTGGTGGAAGGTGTGAGATTTATATATATTTTACTGTCACTTTCTTTTGAGTTTGGATTTTTGAAAATGAAACTAGTGGAAAATGAGTTGTCTCTGTCTAAAGGTATTTAACTGTTAGCTTATAATTATTTCTGCAGTCATTGTCTTTTGAAAAAAAAGGTCTGAATGGATGTTTTGGAGGCTAATTGCAATAGTTTACATTGGGTGAGTTTATGAGCAAACAAAGTAAATAACGTAGTGCATAAGATTTTAATAGAAGATTATGGATTATTTTGGGCTTGGAGAAATACCTAAAGCTTGGAAAACAGCATTTTATTTTCAGTTTGGGGAGTTTTGCAGAGTTCTTAGCTAAAGCTGGATGTGTAAAGAAGATACTTCAGGGATAGGAAGATAATATAAAATCGTTAAAGATTCATTATCTCAGTGTAAGGAGTTAAAAGTTTTCAGACCAGAAATGTTTGCTTAAAACTCAAGGGATTATGTGAAAATGAGAAAGTTTAAACTCAGTTATATGAACAGGTGGGCTGGAAAGTTAAGTTAAGGTAAATGTTCAGCCAAGATTGTACAGAATTTGGGACAAAGCTTGAAAAATAATTTGATCTAACCTTACATTCTTAATACCAGAACAGAATCTTAAATTATAAGCCAGGTCATCAGGACAGAAATGAGGAACTGCTTCTCCACAAACTAGAAATATACAGAAACCTGGAACTATCCTACTTCAGAGGATACAGATGCTGGATCAATTGAAACTTTCAAGACTAAGGTAGATTATCCTAAAATATTAATTTGTTTCTGTCTATGGCTATGTTCTAATCAAACTGTTCACTGATGTTATTACGCACCTTTAAAGCAGGTGGAACTTGAACCCAGGACCAGAAGTAGGGACTTTACCACTGCACCACAATAGCAATTTTTTTCAGTCCATGGATACTACTTGAAAAATTGAATATTTCCAGAATATTTTAAGAATTTGCAGTAATTTACTTGTGTGTTGACATAATGTTAAGTGTGGATATTAATAGGTTTAAAGAAATAGAATTGACACAATTTCAGCTATAATCTCACTGAAAGAAATCAGACATGTTTAAGAAGTTGAATGATCAAGTTCTGTTCCTATGTAAAAAAAAACAAAGAACTGCAGATGCTGGAAACCCAAAACAAAAAAACAGAAATTGCTCAGAAAACTCAAAAGGTATGGCAGCATCTGTGGAGGGAAAGCAGAATTAATGTTTCAAGCCCAGTGATTCTGCTTTCTCTCCATAGATACTGCCAGACCTGCTGAGTTTCAAAGCAAAATAAAAACCAAAAGAACTGTGAATGCTGTAAATCAGGGACAAAAACAAAGCTGCTGGGAAAGCTTAGCAGGTATGGCAGCATCTGTGAAGAAAAAGAAAAAAAGAGTTAACGTTTCGGGTCCGGGACCCTTCCTCAGATCTCGGAAACAAAAACAAAATTGCTGGGAAAGCTCGGTGGGTCTGGCAGCATCTGTGAAGAAAAAAAAGTTAACATTTCGGGTCCAGTACCCTTCCTCAGAACTGATGCTCCTGTTCTGAAGAAGGGTCACCGGACCTGAAACGTGAATTCTGTTTTTTTCTTCACACATGCTGCCAGACCTGCTGAGCTGTCCCAGCAACTTTGTTTTTGTTCCTGAGTTTCAAAGTAATTTGTTTTTGTTTCAGTTCCTGTATATCCATTCTGAACTCTTTGCTTCTCTGAGTTAGGCTTATTGTGGTTTTCCCTGCTCTGCCCCTGACTGGCAGTTGTACTTTCAATTGCCTAGGCATTGACATCTCCTTCCTCACTTTTTAAAGCCAACATAAATCCACTTCTTTGGCCAAAACTTTTACCCCTCCTAATATCTCATCAGATCAGCCCTAGCTGTGTTTTTTTTAAAATCTCATCTCTTTTAAAAGGTCTTGAGAAGTTTCCCTGTATTAAAAGTATTACATAAATGCAACTGTGGTTTGATTACTCTTTAAAATACTTTGGAATTTCACTTCCAAGTCGATTCTTGTGCAGTTCCCCATCCAAAATATGGTTTCTGGAGCATTTAACTGCTCATATATTGAATTGTGTTTTCAATAAAGCTGTTCTATATGCTATTCAAGTGTAAACAAGAAAGCAGTTAAGAAAAAAAAAACACACAAAAGAAAAAGTAAATGATGTCCGATGGGAGAAAATGAAACAACTTTCCTTCCCCATGAAATTCTTCCTTCTCAGCATACTCTGTGATAGGTATACCTCTTCCGATAACTTAGGGAGGGACTAAACATGCCACACATCGGAGCGCTGAGGCATCTTGGCACAGTCAGCTTAACCTCGGCAAGAAGTGTCTCAGTCCTCTGGGAGATTCCACTGGCAATTGCCGGTGGAGTGTCAGAACCGTGAGAATCAGTCACCGTTGCGATTCCCACATAGCTGAATAGCCGCTTTGACATTCTGCCATGGTTTTACACACGAAGGATGACATACGACAGATACCCCATCAAGCGAGTGGGAGACACATCAGCTCTTGGGGGTGGAACTAACCGAAATAAGTCACTTCCACCTCTTGATTCTAAACGGCGAGCGGGGCCGTTGAAATTTCAGCCCGGGTCCCCGAAACCCTAACGAATTATCTCTCTCTCTCTTTGACAGTTAATCGAGTGAGGTGACAGCGATCCCTGACAAGCTCCTGTTAAAGCCGCGCTTTCGTTTCCCCCTCAAAAGAAAATCAGACTCCCCTTAAATGTTTTCTGGCAGAAAGAACATATAGAAATTATAGGTGTGTGTGTGTTTTTAAAAAGGAAGCGATCTGGACTCCATTCAAGTTTGAACGGTCGTACTTACCCAGTTTGAGCGACGCCCTTCACCTCCGCCATACCCCTCCTCGCTCGAGCGCCTCCCACGCGACCAGTCGCTCCGCCTCCGCCAGGTGCGGCACGATCCCGCAACAAGAGCTCGAGCTGCTTCGGCCGACCCCCCTTCGTCAGACCGCACGTGCCCTTCCGTTGGTCTCGAGCTCTTCCTGCGCGGAGAGGGAGCCGAGAGAAGTGAGCGAGGGGTGGGGCGGGGGAGGGGGTTAAGAAGCAAAAATAAAGGAGGTCGACCAGCTCACTTGTTGCTGGAGGAGGAGGAGGATGGCGATCACCGAGAGGGGATCGTCCGGACTGGGATCTATTAAAAACAAACCTGCTGAAGAAATGCAGAGGGACTGAAGATCATTTTGTTTTTTTTTTCAAGAAATTAAAAGTAATCAGCCTTCTTAGGGAGTGAAAAAAAAATCAAGGCGGCGGTCTCAATTTTTAAATTTGGACTGGGTGGGGAGCTAGAAGAGGGGAAAAACTTTCAAACGCCGGCGAGAAAGAAACTGACGCGAGTTTAAGAAACGTCTCCCCACAACGGGAAAAATAAGTAATCGAACACATTGGGGTTTTCTTAAAAAAAAGACACACACTCTGAAACAAAGTGTTTGTTTTCACAATGAAATACTCACAGAGAAGTTGCATTGAGAGGAGGGGGTTATAAAGCTGGATAACCGACCGGACTGTCACCTGGAACGGTTGCCTTGCCAACCACAACAACAGGTACCGCAGTGACGTAGCGCGTGTCGTCTGTCAGTGTGTCAGCAGCTGTGGGACATCTTTCCAGTGCATTCCCGGCCAGCACTGAACTGGAGCCCCACATCAAACCCTGTACCCACTCGGGACTTCCCTCCCCGCTGAAGGTGTGGATTGGAACCTTCAGTGCACGATTTCTCCTCGCCGCACTTGAGGAGCCAGGGACAGTTGGTCCAAAGATTTCGCTTCGAGGATGACCTTAAAGGAGGAGAGGTTGAGGGGAGCGCAGCTCCAGAATTTGGTGCCCAGGAATCTCAAACCAAATTATTGAGAAATCAGCATCGTCTTTTGCGTGTGCACGTAGGTCCCAAATGCAGTCTCCCAGTTCTGTTAGTTCAAAGAGCTTAGACCCTATTGTTGGAACGGAAGATGTTGAGCAGCCCCAAACCGTTGCGAAAGTACACTGGAATTTAACGAGCTTAAATATTTCTCCTTATAGAATACAGTAGCAAAGCTAGGACATTAGCTTGCAACTTCCCCCATCCCGGAAAAAAATGAGGTTAATTCTTTATATTCTCAAAAATTAGATTCAAACAAATTACTTATGCATCCTATTGTTACCAGGTCAATGGTAAGTATACAGATTAGTGAACCGAGGACTACACGATAGATCATGTCAACTAAAAATTGTAACATGCTATCACTACTGTTAACCAGTTGCTTCCATCATAGAATTCAGAAAATTAGAAAGTAAAAGGCTTACATATATTGCTACGCTTAGACAATGAGACTGAAAAACGTAAGTAATCATTGCAGTTGTCTCAAAAAACTTACTGCCGCTAAATAAGTAAGTTGGAACATCGTGAAACAACCCAAGGCACAGCGCATGAATGTACCCATACAAAATAAAAGCCACACAAGATGTTAGAACGAAATGTTAGAGCACCTTGAAGAAGAGCAAAGTGGAAAGGCAACAATGTTGAAAGAGGCAATTCAATAATTTCATACTCAGCTGACAACAAAATAGCAGAGTTTTGAAAGACTCGAAATTTATGCAGGGAAATCGGCCAGGTGAGTTCTGGAATAATTGAGTCAAGAGTTAACGAAATAATGGATGAGATTTTAAGCAACAAGTGAGCTGACGGAAGCTACAGAGATGCAAGTGGAAATTGGAAATAGGTGATCTTTGAGATGGAGGAGATTTGGGGTGAGAAGTACGGTTCAGGATCAAATGAATACCAGGATATCATGAAGTCTACTTTACCCTGAGACAGTGGCTAGGGACAGAGATGGAACTAATAGCTAGATAATGAGGTTTGTTACAACTGCTGAAGACTATGATGTCAGTCATTCCAATGTACAGCTGGAAGTAATGAGGTAGTGCAGTTAGTGAATGTTGCTGAAGGAGCAGTATGTTGTTTTAAAAAATCAGACGGGATTTATAGGGATAACCCTGCAAGATATAAGGAAAACAAGCATTGCAAGAGATTTTAAATTGGATTAAAATGAGTGGGTAATTTGTTTTTTTTTAGCTGATACTGACACAATGGGCTGAATAGCCTCATTCTGTGTCACAAGTCGAGCATAGTTTTATATCCATAATCAGACATCGTAATGACATTCAATGAGAATAGTGCTTCTAATTTGCTTGATGGAAGGTAGATAGTTAAGAGGATGGTTTGGTCAGGAATGGTAAAGCTGCAGAAGTTGAAAACAATGAGGAAGGATAAAGCAGCACAGTCATAGTCACAAGGATCTAAGTTATTACTTTAATCCGGGCAGTTTCACTGCAGTAGCAAGGGCAGAAACCTTTTTGAAGAAGTTCAAATATGAATTCCAGGCGAGATCTGAGGGGTGGCATTACTTTAAGGAGGAAAGGGAAATTTGTAAAAGGGCAGAGAGGTCAAGGATTCCTTTTTGAGGTTGAGATCATTGTGGTAGATTTAAACTGTATGGGTAGAGAGCTACTTACAATATCAGCCAGCATGAGGACAAGGAAAAAGAAACTAAGTTGGCTACTCAGTACTCTAGAAAGAATAGGAAGAAAGAACAGGGGTGGGCCCCTTGAAATCAGAATGGGTATGAGGCTAGGAAGAAAATTAAGCAAAAATTTAGTGAAGATGGTTCTTGTGGAAGATGGTGATAATGTCACTGGATTTAGTAATCAAGTACCCCAGACTAATGTTCTGGATATGTGTATTCAAATCCCATTTGACAGATGGTGAAATTTGAGTTTTAAAAACTGTCTAGAATTAAAAGTGTATTGGTGATGATGTAACAAATATTGTAAATAAACATCCGGTTCATTACTGTCCTTTAGAGAAGGAAATCTTCCATCCTTACCTGGTCTGTTCCCCATGTGACTGTAAACCCATAATAATGTATTCACTCTTTACAGTCCTCTGAAATGGCCAAGCAAACCATTCAGTTCATGGACAATAAACGATGGCCAAGCTAATGACCGACACTCCATGAGTTAATCAAACAAAATCTAGTGTTTGTTCGATAGCCCTTCCATTGAATGTAGAGGATGTGATGGAGGTGTTGCTGATGGAAGTTCTTTACCACTCGTGTGTCACTGAAACATAGTTAAGATCTCACTACAATACAGGAGTGTGGTGATAACAACTGTTCTGCACTATAGGACTTTTGTTTACTTGTGAAGATTTTTGTTTTAACCTACTTGCTACCATAATTTGTAGAAAGCTGTGTGCACAAGTGATCTGTTGTTGGATCTCTTTATTAATTGTATTTTTCTGAGATAATTGGCTGCCAAGTATGGGAAGTATTCAACACATTCCAGACTTTCTCCAGTATAAAAGCAGAGTAGGCTATCTGGCCCTTTGAACCTGCTCCACCATTCAAAGGATCATAGATGATCTGGTTGTGGTCTCAGCTCCACTTTCCTGTGAAAGTTGCCATAATTCTTGATTCCTTTATCTGTCAAAAATCTGTCTCAGCCTTGAACAATTTTAAAGAGCAAACCTCTCCTTCCTTCTGGGGAAGCAAATCCACTTAATAACTCTCTGAGAGAGGGGAAAAAAAAACTTCTCTTAAGATTTCTTATGCTTAAACTATGTCCTCTATTTCTGGTTTCAACCACAACAGGAAATATCCTCCCAGTTTCTACCATATTTAGTCTCATTAAAATCTTATATACTGCAATAATACCACCTCTCATTTTTCTAATCTCCAATAGATATAGACCAACCTATTCAAACTCTGTTGATAAAGCAAGCTCTTCATCTCAGGAATGAGTCAATATATGATAGGCGAAATGTTTCACTGACCAGTTTCAGCTGATATGGGTTTTGTTTTAGCAGCATTCAAGGTGAAGTTTCTTGCAGCAGAATTGAAAAGATTGACAGTGGTGTGCAAATCTGGTGCAGAGAAGGCAATGATACTATAGTCATCCGTAAAACAGAGATCAATTATATTTTTGCAGTGATCAGTTTAATTTTGGCACAGAGGTGACTGAGATCAAAGACATTTTTGTCTAAACAACATTTAATGCTGACTCAAGAAGACAAGTGACCTTGTCTTGAAGTAAATAACCACAGTCAGGTAGATTGAAAATAGCACGGAGGCTATCACAGTCTTGCTTGACCCCTCTCTGGAACTTGAAGGCATCTTTTTCAGATTTCTTACTCAACCTAATTGCAGTCATATCACCATAATATCACCATGACACAGCATTGATCTGTGGCAGTCAGCTGGGTAAAAGACTATTCTCCTCTCCATCAGCCCAGCCACCAAGCTGCCCAAGTCTCTGTCCATGAAGCAGGAAGTGAGAATTCTTTTTATGTCCTGAATGTTGGAGCTCAGGCACCACAGAGTGAGACCCAGTTCCTCACTTGCAACATTTGAAGTGATGCGGAACTGGGCTTTACATATGACATCAAAGGTATATACACCAGAAAGTCCTGACAGTGGCAAGTACTTTCACCACTCCAGCTATGTGATTCCCTGAGGAAAGTGCCCAAGAACTTATTTGCATAAGTATTGAGGTAAATTTGGAAGATTGCATGAGAAATGTCATTTTGCGCCATGGCAGACCAGATGCCATGAATCTCACTCCATAAAACACTAGAAGAAACTTGGAAAATTCCACCCTTAATGTGTTTGTCTATGATTTTGTAGCCACGTAAATAATGTTGTTAATAAACTTCAAAGCATATCTCTCAACAAGAACCTGACTTTCTGTGGTATATGTTACATGGGCAAACATACAAAAAAACTATATAGCACATTATAGTAGCAGTAAGTGGACATTAAAAATTACTGGTGACAACTAGTAAGTGGACGCTAAAGGCTGAAAAGGTGGCCCAGTATGGCAGTTGTGAAAAAGATTTCTCCTGTTATCCAACAACCTGTCTCAGTTCAGATCTGAAGTTACAAATACAACCTAAATTAAAGTTCATCAACAAAAAAAGGCTATAATTCTGTACTGAAGCACAGTGAGTACTCCACCTCTCTCTCTC